TTTTTTTTTTAATTTGCTTGTCGCAGATAAAAAAGAAAGAAAAAAAGAACTGACAAACTAAACATGCCAGAGAAACACCTTATAGAGGAAATAAAGAAAATGAATAAAAAACTTAAAGACTTGAATACACAGATAGCAGCAAACGAATATAAGCTGCGTGAAGTTCCGAATAGAAAAAGCGAAGAAAAGTTCAATAAAGTCATAGAAGATCTAAAGCGAGAAAAGGAAGAGGGTGAAGAGAAAAGATATCTCCTTCAGAAAGTAGTGAAAYTGCAAGGAACACTAGAGACAAGAGAGGTAAAAATAATATAGTTGAAAGCCCTAATAGAGGAACTAGAACAAAAGAATGAGCAAATAGAAGAATTAAAAAAAGAAATAGTAGATCTCAAGCATAAAAGGGATCAGTTGAAAAATGAAATAATCAAGCTTGAAAGTGACATACGTGAGTTGAAGGAAAAGATCAAAGAAAAGGATGAWMGTGTGGAACTGTTGGAAATGAAAATGAAAGAAAACCAGCAGAACCACCAGAACAGAATGAAAGATGCTATTGCTAAGGGTGAGAAGAATATAAATATTTTGAGGAACGAAACTATTGCCAAGATCATGCAACTAAAAGATAATCATTCAAAAGAAATGGACGAAATGCGTGAATCAAACAACTTCCTCGAAAAGGACGTAAAGAAACTTAAAACGGAACATTCAAAAATGGAAAGTAAACTAAATGARTATAAAGAGTATGTTAGCTACTGTACAGAAGAAAATCAGCACATTTTGTACATTGGGCAACTTTGTTCAAACTTGCAAACAAACTGGTATCGATATGTTATGCCGAAGCACTGCCACGATGAGCATCGTGCTTATACAGTTAAGGACATTATAGACGATATTGGTGATTGCACAATACTCAGTGAAGAAGAGCAAAACGATACCAAGAGGAGGTGGAAAGAATTGCAAAGTAAAATAGATTGGAAGAAGAACAAACGATTGATAGAAGCGATTAAGCGACTACGACACCAGAGAAACCAAGCCGCGCATCCCAAAGTCCTTAGTGAAGAAGGAGCAAGAAGTGCGGCCGAGGAGTTAAGAAAACAAGGAAAATTGAATGTAAAACCTTCATTTGATGATGTCATGGGATTAATTAATCTATGGAAATCTTCAATATCCCTGCACGAAGCACGATCCGGCTGATGCATGTGGACCAGCTAAAACACTTCCATGTTCCTTGATCACAGACTCATTTACTTAGGGTTGGCCTCATATCAGCGTTAAAATATTCACATTTGAAATAGGAAATGTAAAGAAAATAATACACAACTTTAACAATACCAGCACTTTTAAAAGTTCACAAACGGATATTTTTAATCGAATATTTTTAAATCCGCAACTTTCATACCGATTCCACCATCAAGCCACACAAGGCCGTATTCAATTAATCACTTGATAAATGTGGAAGTGACTTAAAGTTCACGCATTTTTCCTTTTTAAATATTTACGTTTTTGGTTATAATTTAGATTCCAGTGGAAAGCCRGCCGAGATATACYGAAATGGGCTTTTCGTTTTCTATCACAAATCGGCCATTAGTGTCTAGGGCGCATGAGCTTTGCTGGCGAACTCATGGACGAAGGCTCGCAGCACGTAACAGAGCTAAAACAAGCCCTTGGAAGCTTCGGTGCTCTCTCTGACTTCTAGTTCATTCTTTTTTATGGTTTATAATTTTAATATCCAGGAATTCTTCCCTAAAACTAAGTTCCATAAAATGACATGCTATAGACCCCTTGTAGCACGTCGGAACGAAGCTTCATTTGAAGTACATAACAATAGGTTCYCAATTCTCTTCTTTCCCATACCCAAAATACTTTGCGGCTTTGGGGGGTAACCAGAGGAAAAACTGACTGCACTTATTTTGCTGAAGGCTGATCAGACAATGTTGAAAATATCTCGTTTGATATCCAAATACAAAATGAAACAGTAAGAAGCAGAAAGAGATGAAGAAGTTTAAAGTGATTTTTAAATATTTCTTCGTAAGTCAATACATGTTCTGTAACACCAAACCTTTTGATGTTCTGCAAAATGAACTCAGAATGGACTGATAATCAGTATTTTACAGATCAAAACAGTTATAGTGTACATTCAATTGAAGAACGTTTCATTTTGGGACAGCGCTTTGATTGGTTACGCGTATTGATTGGATACCTCTAAGTCGCAAAGCATTATGGGRCATGTTGAAGATATAGAAGTAAGTTATAGTGCTTGGGAACGAGGTTATTCCGGGCGAAAGCCCTTGGAATTAAATTCGGAAAAATTAATTTCCGACCTCGCTGGGATTCGAACCCACGACCTTCGGAATTGTACTACCGATGCTCTTCCAGCTGAGCTAGAGGTCAGACTGAGAGCAGGCCGTAGTGAAATAGATGTTAGGTCGCGGTAATTATGATGCAAAGATGAGAGTATATGGACCGCGTGGCACTAATGAAATAGTTGAAGACATAGAAGTAAGTTATAGTGCTTGGGAACGAGGTTATTCCGGGCGAAAGCCCTTGGAATTAAATTCGGAAAAATTAATTTCCGACCTCGCTCCAAGGGCTTTCGCCCGAAATAACCTCGTTCCCAAGCACTATAACTTACTTCTATATCTTCAACTATTTCATTAGTGCCACGCGGTCCATATACTCTCATTATGGGGCATGCGAAAGTAAACAATTCTCATGAGATTGAAATTAAGCTGCTTGTACGTGACATGCAACGATTTCAATTTTTTCATTCCACCAARRGGYWTYTTGACTTYGTATAACTGAGTGAATTCAGTTTTTGCAATATATTAACTATACAATAGGTTTATATACATGTTTTTAAACACGAAACGGTCAAAATCTACAATTTATCCTTTTTTAAGCGTAAGGCGATCTAAATAGATCGTAGCAAGATCAAAATGCATTTTGGCTTTCAAGCTACAGTACAATGATTTCAATCTAAGAACTGTAACATACGAAACTTGTTCAAATACTCTGATTGTTCATCACTCTCTGCACTGTCTAGTTATCATACAGGTTTTGTTGTAGGAGCAGACGACCAGCGTCGAACCAATCTTAATGCGCGAAATTAATGACCGTCCAATCAGAATGTTGCATTTTAACAAGACTACGTCACGGTTACGCACCTTCACTATCATACGAACACCGCTCTAAAGTAATAAGGACAAATTAGATAATGTAATAATAATAACGATCAATGAAAAGATAATAAAATGAATGAAACTGCCTATATCCATCCAATAAATGATATCTATCTAGGGGCCTATCCTAGTGGTTTTGTCCAATGAATGATCCTAGTATCTTTACGTTAGAGTAGTGTTTTTACCCAGTGAATAACATGTTAAGGCCCCGTCCACACGTTTCCGGAAATTTGTGTATCCGCCAATTGTTTTTTGGCGGATACGGGTTGCGTCCACACGTGTCCGGAAATTCTTCGATCCGTATCCGTAAAAATTTTCGAAAACGGTCTCCAGAGTGGAAATTTTCGATTTGCGGACACAAAAATTTCCGTATACGTGTGGACGGGGTTTAAGACTAGTACATCTAGTTGGTCAATCCTGTTGTATCATCAGCCTCCTGAAATGAAAAAAAAGTGCTTATGAGAGTTAGTTCAACAACCAACATGGCCGTCATGTCTTCTGTTATTTCATTCTCTTGGGAATGATTGCAAACAGCTTATATATCTCTTGCACTAGTTCCCAACCTGRGGGTCAAAACGAAAGATTTCTCTTCGTTTGAGGACTGAAATATCTTTTGAGGATAATATGTTTTCACTGTTTTGACTCCCAAGGTAAGGATTTTGTCTAAAGGGGTAGAATCGAGGGAGTTTCGTGACATGTAAAAAAACAACCACGCCCTATATCTATTGTTTGATGTCGKGTTTGAACTTCGATGGAAAACCTGTCCCGGGAARAGCGGGCTGAATGTCGTATRCTGAAGATGGCCTGAACCAGATACTTGGCGTTGAAGGTAAGAGTATAAATCGGCAATAGAATTTTAAGAAAATCTGTACGTAGTGGGCCTTTTATAAAAGTTATAAAACTAAAGAAAAGATGTAATCTTAATCTGCTTAAGGTTCAATTAATTAATAATGCAGCAAATTATGAACTATAAAACTTGAATAAAGTGAATAATTATTTGAAAAACAATTAATCAATGAAATTTATATTTTGCAAACTCTCCGATTTGGGATTCATTTATCACCATTTCTAAAGTTCACAGGGGGGAGGGGTCTTAATGGAGCATTTGGGTAGGTTTGGAAACATTTTAGTTATTATATAATTTGCTGTATCACTTTTTCAGTCAGTAAATGAAGGGGGATGGGGTGGACTTTGATTGGAAAGTATTTTTTATGTATAAGTCATAGTATGATAATAAGTCATGATAATATATTGTATTAATTCAGCAAAAAGTCATAGGATTGTAGCCTCTCAGCCCCTCCCTCTCAATGCTTACTGTGATGACRATGGTAGTAGTGATTAAGTGATTGTGATGATAGTCATGATCAGGGGCAGATCCAGGGGGGTGAAGGGGATGCACACCCCCCTGGTTCAACTTTGTGCCCCTTCTTCAAAGAATCAAATACTGATTTTTTCCTTTTGATTCTAAGGGGTGCACCCCTCCYGAGTTAACCTTGTGTGCAGCACCTCCTTGAACAAAATCCTGGATCCGCCCCTGATGATGACGCTTCATGTTGATGCAGTAATAAAGGGCAGTGTCAAAAGTACTACAATAATAAACAATGTTCAAAATTATAAAACCTTTAATTATAATAATAATCTCTATATTTATTTCCATAGATTCTTTGCTTCCTCATCATGTAACAGCAAGTCGTCACAAGCTAATTTCTCTTATCCTACTTGGCCTGTGGATTGTGATGRKWGTCATCTYCCTCACAAGATTATCTTACAACAAGTTCTTTCTCCTCATGTCCAGCTCATTTTTGGTTCATTCCATATTTGGCCCAGTTTGGTGTGTACGACGGCTAGCATTTCTCATTGGTTTATGCATGTGGRTTGGCTCTCTTGTTGCMAACAAACCWATCCCAGCAGCTATTGCTATACTGATTCTATTTCTTTTGACGGGATTGAGAAAATGGAGAAAGCAGTTGGCTAAAGCAAAAAGTGCAGAAGATTTGATGAATTTCAACAGGACCATGGACCAGAGAATGGACAGCCTTGAGAGAAAAGTTGATGTGATTCTTGCAAAAGTGGAGTTCTTGGTGGATAGAATCCCAGACAGAGCAAACTATAAGCATGCATAAGAAATGGGATCAAAAATTATTTTGAATGATTGGAGGTATTGGTTATTGCACTACAGATTACCTCAAGCCTCGGTCAGACCAACACTCAGGGTCTTAAAATAACTGAGGAGAAGGTGCTGCCTTTGTAATTACATCTGCAAATGGTTAGGCCTTTACGTGGCTTGGATGATCACGTTAATGGCGGTCCTGTCCCTAATTAACTAGAGACGTTAACAGAGGACCACAAGTTTATCAGTTGAATTACTGTCAAGTGTTATCCTCTATAAACAAAGTTTATTATTATTATTATTATTATTATTATTATTATTATGGAATCATGTGATTTATTAACTTTGTCCTTTGGTTGGTCTTTCAATTTTTTTCTGTTGTTTTTTTTATGGGCCAAGTGATTTCTTTTGTAATACTTTTTCATTGCACTATTATATGTATATTTATCATCAGTATATGTATTATCATTATTTATTTCGTTTATTTTCCTTTGGTTGTTGAGTCAATAAAGACTATAAATAAACGATAAACAAACCTTCTGTTGGCCCAAGAGTGATGTTGCCTCTTGTTGTGTCCAGTCCTTGAACTGCCAATCTTTTGTCACACTACAAACACAACTTTAGATTGCAGTGTCAATATTATGTCTAACTTACAAGAAGGCACAAATTCAAAATAATCATTCGCATAGTACTCAAAATAATCTGGAACGACTTTGATTTGTCTTTCATGTCTAATGACCAATTTCCTTTCTTGATGGCAAGATCTTAAGACTACTACGGAGCGTGCGAAAAACCATATAATATGTCTAGATGTCTAAACCATTCAATATGTCTAGTGTTATGCAAGTTAAAGTCAAAGACATCACCCACAATGGTTACGATGTTTCCTTGTTTTGTTCTATTTCTTATCACAAGGATTTTTTCCAGTAACTCGGCTTCAATTTTCCACTTTAAAAAAATCAATATATACTTTAGCTAAGTCTGTGGGTATGACTTAGAGGGCGTGGGTGGAGTGTATTGTAACGTCATAGGTTAAAAAGGCAATCCAAATGAAGATCAAAGTGTGAAGATCAAAATTTATGACTAGTCGTATGTCGTCTTCATCATTGAAAAGTAAATTGTCATAATGTATATTTTTCTTATTGCAAAGCGCGCGCATGCGCATTATACATTTTTAATCAAGCAACACTGGTGTAGGTACTTGTACAGGTCTAGCTAGGTCTAGGTACTTTTACAGTATGTACAGGTCAACCGTATTGCGCAAATAGATTGTTAAACACCGCATAAGTAAACTGWGGAGATACCACCGTTTGATACGACGAGTACGAATCATTATTCTTATTCAGTGCCGTTTATATTACTAGCATATCTACAAAATCCTAACGGTCTGTAAATATGGTTTTGGTATTTCTCACTGCCCATGCAACAATCAGAGTACAGAATTTATCAATGCTGAACAATTCCAGTAACACTTCATGGCAAATGATCACCTTTAGTCGTACTATGAACTACTTGATTTTGTTTCTGTTTTTGCTGATGTACTAAGACACAACTCTTTCACCAATCCTTTTAGCTACAGGTAAACCTTAAAAACCAAAACTGAAAGCAAAACAAAAAAAGAAAAACCTGAAAAAGTAAAATTAAAAGGAGAAATGGAAGGAAAAATGCCAAAAAAAGTTCACTAAACCGGCCCTCATCGACAACCTTACCAATAAGTTGTTCGAGTAGTACCTGTGACGACATTCAAGGAAAAGACGATCGAGCTGATGCAAAATAGTTTTGCACGAAACTGGAGCTTCTTTAAATAGGCGCAATACAAGACAAAATTATTACATGCAATATAGCATCATTTACTTTGCAAATTGAAAACAATCATGTTTGATAATTGCAATGAGTATTGTTACGTTTTCATAAATTAATCAACCCACGCCTCCCCACGTCAGTATCCTTACTTCTACTCATCAACCCAAATCCCTAGCAATCCGAGTACTCTTACCTAGACACACCCATACCTTATAACGCAGTAATCCCCTCCTTCCACTTCCAGTTCCGCAGCCCGAACAAGAAATTCAGAAACTCAGAGTTGCTATATTTTGAACTTTTTTTGGTATACATGTTATATCCCCCCAGCGACAAATATAAAAATATATGCAAATCTTTTAAAATTTACTAATTATTGACAATATAGAGTTGACTCTCCCGTAAGCGACCACCCTCGGGGCCAGGAGAAAGTGGTCGCTTACGGGAGATGGTCGCTTAAGAGAGAGTTAACACAGGAAGTCCAAACAATGGGAATCCCAACACAGGAAGCCTAAACCATTTATAATTTGTAACTCACGTGTTAAAACTACTGTATTAACGATTAAACTGTTTTAATCAAAACTTTGAATGTGCTATGTATATTTTTACAGTTATGTAATTGTCAATATGAGGTAAATTACTGTATTTCTAGTGATCTCTAACAACGATAACAATAGAAATCTTTTAACACGCATGCATACAGTAATGTATTATGTGCAGTTATAACCGGGAAAAGACTCAATAGAGGTGCGGAATATGGGTTGGAGATCCCCTGCGAATATATCTTTTATGGAGATAGTAAAACATCGATGCCTTAGCTTTAGAAACATTTAGAAAGACTTAATTATGACGTCTCAGAATTGATGCATATTCAGTAGGATTTTTAAAAGAAAAATTCCAAAATTTTAACCCCAAAGGTGGTCGCGGTCGCTTACGAGAGAGTTTTTTTACACAGTTTATATGGTAAACAAAAAGGGGAATTTAAAAGGTGGTCGCTTACGGGAGATGGTCGCTTACGAGAGTAGTCGTTCAAATTAACCTTTCTACTCGATTTAGAGCCCATCTGTTTATAATTGATTAGTCCTGTCAAGGAATTAAGCTAGCATACTCACCACTTTCATTTCAGGAACACTTGACCGAGGTAAATGGAATAACAAATTGGAAAACACCTGCTTTAATTTGATCCAATTTGTCAAAGTTGCAAAAAAATGCAATAAAAACTCGCAATATTGCAACGCATAGTTGACTTAAAAAGAAGAGGAAAGAAACCAAATTACTGTTTAAAAACACTGAATTCATATTAAGAAATACTGCCAAAAGCGAACTTTTTATATACGGCATCATAAGTTAAGAACCACATCAGCATTACTGAACACTTCACGGCAACGACTGAAGCAAAGTGGTGGATATCTTCCACATCTTGATAATTTTTTTAACTTTTTCGTATGAAGTTCTTCCTCTTAATCTACCTTGTTTGTTCAGCTCTTCGGCAACTCTCTCTGCTTCTTCAACCGTCAGGCCTTCTGGATTGGCCATATAGTTTCCCTCTTTCTGTAACATTTTCAACGTTTTCTCAATAGAAGGTTCCCAACAAAGCTTTTCCTTCAAATCCACCCACCTTTCCAAAGCTTCTTGTCTTTCTTGGTCATCGAGCAAGTCTTCATCGTTAATATCTTTTTCAATATCCTTTACTTTGTAAAGCCAATCTTCAGAGAACTGGTCGGGCAGCACGATGTGGTACATGATGGCCTGTAGAATCCAACATACTCGCCCAATATAAGACTGGCAATAATTTATTTCAACATTATTTTTCAGCGTTGGTTTGTCTTGGTTGAGTCGCTTATTAACTTCGTCCATTTCTGTGGCGTTTTCTTTCTTAAAGCTATAATCGGCTTCGTCGAAGTATTTCTCAAACTCGCCCATTACTTCGAGGATGCCGTTGTCAAGCCATTCATTAAATTCCTTCATTTCTTTCTCCTGGTCTATTTTGTTTTGTTCAACTGCTTTTTCCAAAGAATCTAGCCTAGAGTCTTCATCAAGAGTTTTGCTCAGCGTCTCCTTTCCCCCCTTAGGTTCATCTATTCCATTCGTCAGATCTAGTAATTCTTCAGTCCTAAGGTTACTGACTTCTTGTTTGCGATCCTCTATTTTTTTACTAACAACTTTGCTTCGATAATCGCTGTGTTTTCGGCCGCCATAAACATCAAGCGTCATCGAAACTGTCTTACATTCCATTGCCGGATTATAGTTTTAGTAAACTGATTCTAATTTATCTGAGGAAAAATTAAAAAATCACTATTATTTCATCAATCATTATTATTATTTTACTCATTTCATTTAAAGATTGTGATCATAAATAACTGCCTCGAAAAAAATACAAAAATATCAGATAAACAAACTTATAATATTCGTTTTACAAGAATAGAGGTGGATAGCTTAGCTCCGGTAGCCAACAAACCTGTCGCCCTCGCTCTTACCCCGTGTTTGTCGAATAGGAGCATGCATGTGTTGATTTTTGTTGTAGAAAACAGTCTAAAAAGGAAGCCAGTCTGTGTACGACTAATAAAAAATAGACATCTGAAAATTTTATTAATATTAAATGCTTTTAAACTAGCTATGACCTTGTTTTTCGTCTTCTTATAAGTCTATATAATAAGTTCAGTAAAGTTCGGTTCATATCTCGGTGCCGCGGTCGTGATGCTGAAAAAATCTTTCACTCATCAACAGAAAATCTGAATTTGTAAGAAAATCTGAATTTGCTCGAAGACTCGCGTCTCAGTCAAATATTTCACGATATTCATATAGACTGCGAGCAGTCCCTCTATTTCCCTTGGTCACTGTCCGTCTGTCTGTCCGTGTTGATTGGACGAGGAAGATTGGTTAAAGTCCCTGGGGAGAGAGGGGATTGGGGACTTTCCACTTTCAAGCGGAGAAACAAAAAATATTTAGTCCACTTTTACTTCAAACTTCACATATTCGTAAAAGGTCTATTCTTTACATCTCTTTGCAGCAAGCTCTTAAACTTTGTATTTTCAAGGGGATAATAAAAAAAATAAAAAATAAAAATATCGCTTCTAATTGACTAGTGAACATATTGAACTATTGAAATAATAAAAATAAAATAATAAATGGGATTTCGCAGTAGCATTTTCACAGAGTAGCTATTCATCCACTGTCATTCCAATTGTAATTTGGAAGTTGATTTTTGCGGAGGGAGCAAAGCCGGGGAACCCGAAAAACCCTTGAAGCACAGGAGAGAACCAACAAACAACTCTACTCACATATGAAACCGAGTACGGCGGGACTCGAACCCGGGTCGCCTTGGTTACGCCACCCGTGCCACATCGAAAAACCAAACAGTGCTATTTTTAGTTTTTTCCTTTTTTCTCCTCATCCTCAGTTACAATTTTTCTGAAAATTTCTGAATCTTATCTTGGGCAGAAAAAAAGTTATGACGCTGCTTGAAATATTACCATTAAATGGTTTGCCTTGGATGAGCCTTGCGAAAAATCAGCATCAAATCTTACAAATTCCTTGAATAATTTTTTTTTTTTACTATTTGTCGTTGTCTCAAATATCAGAGTTTTGCTAAAAATCACATTTTCGTCGCTGTGTTCTTCAAAACGGCTCCAAATTTTTCCTTCAAATTTTACTACATCAATAGACCAGAAAAAAATTTCGTTTCTTTCTCGGTAACCACTACCCAAGTATTTAGTACTTAGTATTTAGTAAATAGTTAGTACAAGAATTGGAAAACTGTACCTTCACTTATGAATCTCTTTTTCTTTTTGAATCAGACTGCGAAGAACTTTGGCATAGATGTTTTTCGAAGCTCGTCTGTCAGGAATTCTTCCAGATGTTAATTTCTTTTAAAATAAATTCCGTACATCATGCATAATATGTATAAAAATTTTCATAACAAGCTACGTATTTAATAATAAAACACAATCACAGGTGATGGGGTCTCTAATCATCGGGTGATTCGTTGAAATGTATGTGTGCAATGCGACATTTTTTATCAAAGGGAAAATTTCGAAGTATAAATATGTTATTTCCCGGAAGTAGTCCAAGTACCATTGAAGGCAAAACTGAAACATAGGACTGTCTGGAAAACTTAAAGATATAAAAATATATCATAAACTAGCATTTGCTGACAATCGGTAAGAGTGATATACTAAATCATTTTAATCTCTCTTCTAATATATAACCTATATGATTCATGTTAAAACTTTAAAAATATTTTTATTCAGGCCCAGTTAAGATCTCTTTTCCATTTTTCAAATTGTTTATTCTTTCTGTCAAAATCACTGATTTTAAATTAAGGATTCGATTTTTTCTTCGACCAGGCATGTAAGTCAGTGGCGTTGCCTTCGAATTCTTAAGTGTTATAACACTTTACGGCGCCAAGTTGCATACTTTCCACAATTTCCTATTCTGGATAAAAGTAAATTTATTCATCAGTTTTGTCCACTTAATCTTAAGGCAAATTTWAAAAAATTGCAAAAACCTAATAATCCGATTTTTAAAAGAATTATAACAACATTCAAAGACAGTATTAACTCCCATACCATAATGCTTTGCAAGCTTCTTCTTTTGAAGCTCACCAATGCGACCCGGGTTCGAGTCCCGCTGATCTCGGTGTCGTATGTGAGAAGAGTTGTTTGTTGGTTTCTCCTCTTCTTCGAGGGTTTTTCTCCAGGTTCTCCGGTTTTCTTCCCTCCGCAAAAATCAAATTCCAAATTCCAATTGGAATGACAGTGGATGAAGAGCCACTCTGTGGAAATGCTACTGCGAAATCCCGTTATTATTTATTATTATTATTAGCTTCCTTTCCGTTCATGCATAATAAGTGCTCGTACTTTCTCGATCGAGTTGAGTAGTTCTCGATAAATCTTTTCTTACAGTCAAACCACCTCAAGCGTGAACACGTAGAGGCCATTAATGACTTTATTTTTTGGATTCTTGATTTCATTATTCGATTCGAACATTCATTATCGAAAACGAATCTTCATATATGCAGCTGAAATGCAAGAACAATTTTTTGTGCAAGGACTATGTAATATTAATGACTTACCTATTGTTTCCGCTAGAAACGAGAACCCCTACAAGCCAAGTTAATCGATTTTTTCAAACTATTATTATTTTTGAATATTGAAGATTCGTTTTCAGCAATGAATGTTCGAATCGAATAATGAAATCAAGAATCCAAAAATAAAGTCATTCATGGCCTCTACATGTTCACGCTTGAGGTGGTAACTTTTCTTGTCATGCAAAAATATTGCATTGTTCTTGTCCACAAACATGGCTGCCGTGAAAAACCTTCTATAGGTATGCCGCTAAGGTTATTTCATCTATTTTACTTTAGAAATAACAAACATGTCTGAAAGCGATAACATTCAACTTAAAAATGTTATTGAAGAAAAGAAAGCAAAGATAAGAGAGTTGGAAGAACAGAAAAAAGTGTTGGAAGAAAATATTATAGCGCACGATTCAAAGATCAAGAAATTGACACAAGAAAATCAATCTCTGGCTAAAGATCTTGAAAAAAAAAAAAAAGATTTTGAAAAAGAAAGAAAAGATCTTGAAAAAAAAATAAAAGATCTTGAAAAAGAAGTAAAGAAATTGAAAACATGGAATAGTGCAAAAGACAGCAATTTGAGTAAAATTCAAGAAAAAGTCAAAAACAACAAAATTAGCCATGACGAGGAAATGAAACGACTGAAAGAAAACACCAGTACAGAATTGGAGAAGCTCAAGGCCATCGCTTCTAACCTAACAAAAAAACTGGAGGAAAAGCAGCAGCAATGTAACCAGCATCTTGAACGCATAAAAACCATACAAGAAGAAAACAATAACCTGACGGTACCTAACTCTTTAGAACAATGTTATCTGTGTATTGGGCAATTGTGCTCAGATTTACAGGCAAAGATGTATCAACATGTTCTACCTGATTCTTATCCCAGCGGTTGGTCATATAAATTTAAGTATATAGAAAAAGACATCGAGAACCTGAAGGATGGTGACCCACGAAAAGCACAAGCGAAAACAAGGCTGGAATCTTTGAAAAAGAATATTAAATGGAAGAAAAAATATGAAAGAGTAATAAATATGATACAAAGAAGCCGAAACCAAGTAGCTCATCCAGAAATCCTTAATGCGGAAGCTGCACGAAAAGCTGTACAAGAGCTCAATGAGCAAGGAAAGTTGAGCGGAGAAATTGACAATGACACGGTTTTAAAAATAATTGAGATGTGGGAGTATTGTCATGAGAGAGAAAATTAGTGTTTTTACAGACTAAGCTAGACATCAGTTTCAGTTTCTAATTACTATTTCTTATCGTATGAAAACAAGATAAAGAACGATCAATTAGTTATGAAAAATATCGATATAAGATTTCAGTAAGGCTAAGTATGCTTTGAATTTACAAGTGAACCTCTTAGCTCCTCCATTAGCATGCACACCTCTGGTTACGCCCTAAACACTTTTTACCCCTTTGCTTAGTTATTTTAGAAATATTCCTCGTAGACCTTTCTATACATTTACCATATATTCATATATTAACTTTAGCTTAAGCTATGTTTAGTTCTAAGATTTTTACTCGTATTACTCTTTAATAAGATATCAAGCTCAGGAATTTACTTATTCCTTTAGCCAATCAAGACTCAGCGATAAAATCATATTGATTGTAGAATGACACATGTCATGAAGCTATTATAAATAGAGCTCATGTAATTAGTTTAAGTCAGAAGAGAGAAGAAGTCAGAATAGAATAGAGAGAACAGAAGAAAAGAGCCAGATAAAGTAGAATAAAGATCCCGGAGCTCGTACTGAGAGCGGTCGTCCCGTAACAGTATCTATCGACCTAAGGATCAAATATAAAAGTAGAAAAAAAAGGTTCAGTAGTCTCCTCCACAGCCGTCATCAGTCTCGGTCCCAGATCCTCACGCGGGCTCTCTCCACTAGACGTTTGATTGAATAGTACAAAGAGTACACAGAAGAAATTCAGTAACTCTTAATATATATATCTTGCAATGCAATAAATTTAACAGGTTTATAGCTATTTCAAAAATTGTTGAATACTGAATGCTGAAGGAAGGCATTGTGGATCTCGTTAATTTGAAACAAAAAGTAAATATACGGCGATTTTTGTCTCGGATGGAATGCACTAAAAATAAGATAAATAACTTCAGAATATATTTTACTTTGGACAATATTAAATAGGACCCAAAATGCATTTCGGTCTCGGAATACACTATGTAGTATTTAGTATTCAAGGTTTTTTGAAAGAGCTGTATACACTTATTTCAATAAAGTTAGTCACCTGAAAAGCTATACAAAGGTGAGACCGACAAGGATTATAGGTAGTTACATTTTACATGTTTCAACCGCCTGATAACTGTGGATGGACTCGAGATCTTCTACCAGTTACAAGTTAACCTCCTCTTAGCATCCTCAATTGCTGCAGTTTGTTACAAAAGCTGTACTTGTTGGATATAAAACATTTCCCCATGATTCTCAGCTATCACAGCTTTATAGGTTTTTGGTGACTAACTTTATTGAAATAAGTATATGCAGTTTTAAACTAAGTGAAGAACCCAGAGCACAGTTACAACTAATACTGTTTTTTTTTTATTAACATTATATTACATAAACTGTACATAAACTACTACTGACAATGCTCCAGAGAAGTAGGTTGTCAGAGAAATTTTCGATTTCCAAAACTTGGTCTTCAAAGCAGAAGCCTTATGCTAATTTTAAGAAAAGGCACAACGCGTGTAAGTTTTGCAGACATGMTTCAGCAACACCTCGTGTAGATTTCCAACTACAGTGACTTTGAATTTAGAAACTCGCTCAAACAAACGTTGTGATGACAGTATCTTATTAATAAAACACCAATTACAACGTGAAAAACGTTTTTGAAGAATTGCTAGAGTTCATGAAATACCTTGGCTTGTCTTTCTCCGCTATCCACGTCTATTAGCAATCACTCTCTCGATTCCTTTAGAATCAATTGTAGAAACGTTAACTACAAATGCACTTTGTTTTCATTCTTTTCTTTTTTTCCGAGTAGGCAAGTTTTTTTTTCAAGTCGCTGAACTTCTTCCAGAGTTTTCTTGGAACGTTCTTCCATTTATTTAATCTTTGAATTATTACCGAAGTAGAAAGTTTGAAGCTAGTAGGTTTAATTTCAAAATTAATTCAGCAAGTTAATTCGATTTATCTCTTTTGTACTCGGATATTCAAGTCAATAGAAAAGAAAAGAGGAAGAAAATAGGACCAAAGCACCAATCACTGCGGCACTCCACAATCCTTGTCACCTTATACATCTTAAATATATCTACAGATAATAAATACTACTTTTACCTGTTCTGCTGTCTCGGTCTCCACACGGGTGATCTTATCCTGGAAGTACATTCTTTGGTTCTCGAGTTGATTGGTCAAACGATACGTGTACTGTTAAAGTCAAAACCATAGTCAGTCATCAAATACTAGCACATGCATGTTTGCATTTACACCGCAGAGGTGCAATAGATGGCTAGTTATGGCAAAGTGACATGATGAAGCCCACAGTGACGTATCGCAAGTCTTTCTACAGACATTCACACCAGCAATGGATTGTCTGGTTAAAGGTCCTGAGTTATAATAATAATTCATATTGCACTCATTTCATAACCAATCACATGCACGAGCCTCACAATAACTGCAATCAAAAGTCTAGACGCTTTATATTGCAGCTTGTCAAACTATTCGACTGACAAAAGACACAGTCATACGGAAACTAGCCTGCCTCACTAGCTATAGAAAGTGAAGGCTATAGAAACGGTTGAACAGTATTTCACGCGCATAATTCG